GGTATTCTGTATCGGCCGATACCTACAGCACAAGTATCGGAATCGGTATCGGGAGGGAAAGAATGGTATGGGAACATCTCTATTCACCACCTACGCTGCAGGCTTACCAGTATGCTTAATCTGCAGGGACACATTTGCATTATAAGCCTTACAGCCTACAGTTTTGTAGACCCAGACAGATTAGTCCTGTGGACTGTGCTACCACTGCGCAATGACTAACGACTAACTACTGTTTCAGAACGGTAAAAAAACGCTCAGAGCATTAGTCTATTTCTCCTTTCCCCTGAAATCTTCTTTTTACACTCAGTGATGGAGGAAAGTCACTGATCAGAGGAAGTGTATGTACAAACTTGCGGCATGCCTGGAGCTGTAATATTCCCCTTTCCTTTGAGAAGGCTGGAAAATCTGTGGTCCTGTCTACATATGCTGGGAGTTTCCCCACAGAGCAGGAATGCTGGGAGGGCAACTAGGCAAGGAGACGTGAACTTGGTGGCATCTATCCACATCTCAGTCCAGAAATTGCTCACCGTGCACATCACACTTCATAAACACAAACGCTGCTAGAACAAGCAGAATGTTCTGCATGCTTGTTTCATGAGCCTGCTTCAGTCTCATGTTAATTATACCAGCAGAGACAAACCACAGGGTGGAATAATGTGACAGCAAAAGAGCAGATTCAATTTCAACCCTAACCCTAACCCTAACGCTAATGCTAACCCTATGCTGAAGCTGAAATCTCTCAAAATGATTATGAAAATAATGTAGTAGTGAATGAAGTAATGTCCAGCTGGCCCCAAATCTCTTTTCGGAAGTTTTAAGATGTCCAGGGGGGTCCAGGTACAAACTTAAGATAAAGCCCCGTTTAAGGAAGAGGTTTTAATCTGAAAATGCCTCATGAATGGAATTCCACCGGCGAGTTCAGAGGGCTCAACCAGCGAATTGGCCAAGAGTCAGCCGGGGAATAAACACAACTCGTACAGCCAAAGAACGGCATCCCCTTCATCTGTTATTCCACTGATTAAGCACCAGAACAATGTCCCTGCTCAAAACAACAGCCAGCATTCTCTTACTGAAGGGAAAAACACTCATCTGAGCTGGGAGCTCCGAGGTGGACTAGATCCCAAACTGGTTTGGTTTGATTTGATTGCAGTCTTTTCTGTAGCAGCTCTATATTACCCCCACAAGAGAGTGAAGCTGCAGCTGCAGCAGCTGAAGCCAGTAGTTCATTATGCAGTATTCATTTGGAACACAAGGCAACGCTATTCTGTGAGTTGGCTAAACAAGAAAGAAGAATCTGTAGCTTGTAGCCTGGTTAATTTCCTCACTCGCGTGTTGGTGACTGTACATTTACACTCAGCTAAAGATGGTTTTGTGGAATACAAAACACAACTCTGCATCGGAAAAACTCATCAGTAGGTGTGAACGACAGTCAGCTGGATGGAGTTTGAGCACTTTCTGAAATCACCATCATTTTTTGTAAAAAA